TAACAGCATTTTGAACATTGAAATAACTCAACTCAAACCACAGCCCATGAAGAAAATGTCACTATTTGGAAAAAGTTGTATATCTCCGTTGAATACGAACAGAGCAGGCAAAACAAACCCTGACTATTCACAGCCTTCCATTCCTCTTCCTGACCGGCACCAGTTCTCCGGCTGATGATAATCCTGTTTTGACTCTTTGAGCTCAGTCATGCTCAGACTCTCTGATGAGCCATGGCTCCATTAAGAAAAGGGCACGAGACAGTGTTGATCACTACTTGTGTGAATCTGCAAACATTGTGGATAGGAGACTGCATGAAGAGCAGAAACAGACGTAAACTGTCCATAGATATTCTAATCCAGTGAAAGTCAACATTCTCCCATTCACAAACATAGTTATACACTGAAGGGATGGCTGCTATACAAGTTGTCAAACTGCGCATCAACTCTATATCTAATTTGAACCAACATTTGTGCAATTTGGGGTTCAGTATCTTGCCTAAGAGACCATTTCTTAACAGAGACCAGAGTGAGGAGAGTCTACACGACCACGATTGGATGAAGTGTAGAGAGTTTGATATTTCCAACTTGGAACAATTGTACCAACAAACTTCACACAAAAACCTAAGAGAAGTTTAGGATAATGGTTCCAAAATGTTCCTGCTTTTTGCCAAATGCAAGATAAGTAATGATCATCTGAATTGGAGGATGGTCGTGTTGTCCAACAGTTTGAGACAGTCTTTTCAGCAAGTGCCCCAAAACATGTGTTTACATGTAAGTGACATACGGCATATACTGGATATTTTTGGTCCTAAATCAGACCAAACCTTAACTATAGCATTGGCAAAACACATCTATATTTCTACAGGGATTTGTAACAGATTTAAAAGAGTACAAAGAATTGATAAAAGAGGCTTTGATCAGAAAACACTATATGTCACTCTCAAGTTAGTTAGAAACAAGCTATTTTGTTGTATTCTTTGAAGACTTTACCAATCTATGAAACTTTCCAAGACGGACTTTCACAGATAACTTTGACAACAACTGGCCGGGTGTTGTAGGAGAGGAAGTAGCAGAAGACTCTTTTCTCTGTCCTTTGTCCATCTAGGAATATATTTGAAGTGAGTGTGGACCATTATGATTTATTGTTTTAATACAATCCTTGATGTCTTAATTTAGGTCTACTACTTTGATAAAGGGCAACTTTCTGCTAGGAAATCTTTAAATATGACATCAGAAATTGCTCCCATTTACTTTTTCAGTGGAAGTGTAGGAACAGGAGATTAGCTTACATGGTTTCATGGTTCCCTTCAGTTGGAAGACATCTCACAGTGATCTATTCTCTCTTTAAATATATTCTGCCCAAAAGGTTTCAGGGTGAGTTTAACATCTGCGTTGTGTTTTTCTAAGCATGTGCGCTTTTCTTCTTTCCCCCCCGAGGCTTTGTGAAGATGTGTGAAAAACAAATTGCTGCTGACTTTATTCTAATGATAGTCATGCCACAGAAGCTAATAACAGTCCCTTGGAAAATGGTTTGCTTTTTGCCTCATCTTTGATTAAAACATTGTTGGGATGAAAACTAGACCTGGAATTAAAAGCCTCTCTGCCCTCAGTTCAGAGCAAATTCAAGAGCTAAGATTAGTTTGTAAGAAGTATACAAATATTTGGTCTTTGAAGTTCTGGTTCTGTGAGGTTGGAAGATTGAATAAACAAAAATGGGTGGTGATGGGACATGTTTTAACCGTAGACTGTATATATAAAGGTTGTAACCCAGGTTAAACTAGCATCAGTGGTGTTGCTATGTCGTTTTCAAACATTACAAGTGAAACAGTATAAGTTGAATGATGTACCCAAGACACATAGTCAGATGCAAAAAAATGACAATTGGTTGCTAAAACTGCTCCTCAAAGCTAACATGAAATGTAAGCTGCAACGTTAGCATGTACAGCTAACTAGCCTGCTTTCACAGACTTACGATCGGTTTAAATTAACATCTCAAATTACAGTTAAATTAATTTTAATTCGGGCAAGATTGGTTGCCCAATATCCACTTGTTTGCACGATGGGGAAAAGAGTGAACATCTGAGCAGGTTTTAAGATCAGCTGGAAGCATATTCCATTGTTCGATGGCCTCAGTTGGATGGTTTAGTCTGAATTTTGGGCAGATCGTGAGGTTCTCCACATTTGTTTGGAGCGGAGCTGGAAAAAGCTTCTCAATGTTGGTGTTAAACCAATCGTAGTTTGAGAACAGAATGAGAAAGCTTAGGAGGCATAGAGCAGAAGTAGTAGCAGCACAAGTATAATATATATAATAGTAGAAGGGTAGCAGTTGTAGAAGGAGTCCCAGTAGTCAAAAAGTGGTAATGACATATGCAGCTGAAGTAAAAATTATTAAGGGACAGTTAATCTCAAACTAAAAACTATATATTTCCCTATTTCCTGTAGCGTTATTTATCAATGTAGATGTGTTTTGGTGTGGGTTGCAGAACACAGGACATATTGGCAGTACAGATGTCTACCTTCTACTCAATCAAATGGAACTAGAAAGCACTTGGCATTGCAGTGCTCAAAGCGAAACAAAGTACAATACAATAGCTCAACAGCAATGTCTATTTCTAGAAATTATGACACAGAGCTTGATCTTCTTTTTTGCACTGACTGAACCACAGGCATCACACGGGAGTGAAAAATACAAAGTACATATATACAGTATACACTAGATATATATATATATGTATAGCCTCAGAATACAATACACTATAAGGAATATTAAACATCTCTAAAACTTAAATATATTTTTGGGATATGCAAAATGACTACGATAATACATTGGTTAAGAGAATGTTAGATTTGTTTTGTATTCTTTTAAAGCAGATGATTGATGAATTGAGATTGTATGGGCCCAGTAGTAGTGGTGAAATAAAGTTGAATAGCAGTAGAGGCTGCAGCATAAGGTAGTATAGTCAAATAAATAGTTGCAGAGGTACTAGTCAAATAGCAGTAGTGTAATATTTGCAGCCGTAGTAATAGTATCAGGAGCAGCAGTAGTGCAATACAAATGTACATTACCCACAGCATTACTTTGTTTGAATCACATCTATTTTTTAATATTGTAATTGAAATCCTCCTGGAGCTCCGTCAGCTCGCAGACCGACCCCCTCTGCCGACTCAGTAGCTGAACAACTGCTCACACTGCTGATCAAATCAAAATCTTTCTACCGCTGCATGTTCCCCGCAGAGACCTGCAACACATCCCCCCTCTAGAAGCAGAGATTTAAAAAATATTGAAGGCAGTCGAGGTAAACTTCTATACTCAGTGCAAAATATGCGCTGTGAACTGTATTCTTAAACAGACCGACATCACTGCATTGGCAACAGGGAAAAACATAGATAATCTTTTGGAGAGAAACCTAAAACAGTTATTCAAGTACTGCACTTATCATTAGCTTGTACTTAAAATACAACTTTCCAATAATACTGACGCAGCTATGTTTCTGGTTACTTTGCAGATTTAGAGTTTATATTCAAACATATAATACATTTAAATGAATTTCCAACTTTGGTTAATACGTGGTCTCACTTTAAACATGTTTCCCCTCCGATTGGAGTTGTTGATACTTTTACTTAATTAAGTACTTAAGTACTACAGTGGGATTGCTAACATATCTGAATATCAGGGATGGAGATGTCCATTTATTGAGTTCTGTACTAAAGGAGGCCCACAATTTACTTGAAACGTTGACTTTAATTAAATGTATTATTTCAACAGATTTCACATAAGTGTATTAGGTTAGATGAAAACAAAAATGTTAAGTTTAAATAGGTCCAATTATTATTATTGCTTTCAACTAACCTAATACAGTCATTTGAAATCTGTTGACATGATAATACATTTAATTAAAGTCAAGGTTTCAGTTTTTTCAGTGTTTCCATTTTAGGTTGCTTTATTTTACTACTAAATAATGCAGTGTTGTCTTCCACAGATACTTTGCAGAATTAGTTTAATATAATATTATAAAGAAATATATTAGGATGTATTATCATAGATTAAGTTACCCTGTGGTATATAAATAATAAAAATTAGTTCCACCATTGTAAGCGTCAAAATTAAAGTTATGAACACAATGCATCTCTAAATATAATCCAATAACATAAAATATAGTATATGATATTACATATTAAATAAATGGGCCATTCTGCATGATGAGAACTTTTGGTTGTCAAAGTACATTTTGATAAGAATACTTTTTCTACTTTTAATTGGGTAAAAGTTTGAATGTATAACTTTTACTTGCAATAAAGTGTTTTGTGTATTTAAGTAAAATATGTTTGACACATTCAGGTTAAAAAATGAATTTCTCTCTTTGTTTTGGATAAAGATGTAGGTTGAAGTACAGATTCTAAATCATTTAATGCACTCGATGTGTAGAATTATTTACATGAAATATGCTCAAATTGAATCCTGAGGTATACAAATAAAATGTTCATCCCGTTTTATCCAACAGACTGGTGTTTCACCTGCAATTGTACAACTTTAAGCAGTGAATGTGCAGGGTGACTTGACATACTTTATTCAACACAAATATCATTTTGTTGTGCTGGTCAAAAGGCTGCTTGTACCTCCTGCTGTGACTGATCAACAAAGCGAGCAGCAGAGCTTCGATAAGAAGATTTGAGCGGATGGATTTAAGCTGTTGCCTTCTGATTCGTCCAGCTAACTTATTCCTCCAGGAGTGGGCTGAGAGGACGGCAGGAAAACTGATCCACACAATGCTACAGCAGCCTGGCCGCTTCCTTCGAGGTATATTTGAGAGAAAGTGTGAAGTGGGTCTGGATAAACAGAGGAAAGCAGGATCTGGATACTGTGCGCACCTTGGCTTCGCGTTTGGAGAGCAGAGCGTAAAATGAGCGTCCCCACAGGAAGAAAACTCACTTGTTACTTAACCTGTACCGCCCTACATGTATCACGGCTGCAGGATACGGCTCATAGATGAAAACTACCCCGGTGAGAGTCGTTCTCTGTCGGACAAGGAGCCCGTGAGTCTGGGACCATGTCGGACATCTCCCCGGATTTTAACAACGACACGCTGCCGGCGGGGCGGATCACTCACTTCAACTTCCCTGCGCTGATATTCGGGATCTTGCTGATAGTGATAATCGCTGGCGGAAATGTGCTCGTGTGCCTCAGCGTGTTCCTTGAAAAGGCTTTAAAAACCACAACAAACTACTTCATAGTCAATTTGGCGTTCGCAGACCTGCTGCTGGCGGTGCTGGTTCTGCCGCTCTTCGTTTACGCAGAGGTAAGCCCCGACCTGCAGGTGGATTACCGGAGGTGCGCAGGGGGCACGGGGTCCTTATTATCAGGATGTGTGTTGATGATATCTGTGTAGTGAGAGTCGACTGTGGTAGGAAGCTTTAGACAGCCTTCACCTTAAGTGGCAAATAAATAAATAAAAATTCAGCCCTAGTTTATCAACCAACAGCAGCTGAGAGTTCTGCAGAATATCAGTGAAACTACAAAAGACATGCAACTAGACTAGATTAGCAAAACTACTACAAAGACCAACAAAGCAAAATGACCATAAAGAGACACCAAATGACCACTAAAACATGCAAAAGGACAATTGCTAAAGCTACTAAAGAGACACACATAACAACAGCAAAATGACACCAAAATCATCCAAAAACACGTCAAATGACAATTTAACATGTAAAAACAACTACAAAGATGCAAACATGATGAACTATTGAACACCAAAATGTGCAAAAACTACCTCAAATGGCAGCAAAATGATGTGAAAGACCCATTTAAAACCACTAGAAGCTGCAATGAGATGCAATAGTATGACAAACAGCCACAGAATCACCACAAAGACATGCAAAATAACAACAGAAGCACTCAGAACAAAGTCACACACAAACAACAAGACACTGACTGTTACTTTGTGTCTCTTTCAGTGTGGGTGTTTCACTCTAGTGTAGGAGGGCAGGGGGTCCCTTACATATGAATCACATTTACACAGAGAAGGGTCAAATAATTTTCCCAATTCTCAAGCAAACATTTGAGATGTCCTTACATTAAAAACAATCAATGCTTGGACTAATCTGATCAGGGAAAACTACTCACATAACCCTCTCTAAAGCCAGTTCATCATGGCACAAAATACAAAAGAGCATCCAGTACAGAGTGCTTTCTCCCTCACTTTCTTAAATCGGGATTCATTAAGGACAGGGAAAACGCTGCGGTTCATGCTGGTTATTAGGAGAGGCAGGATCCATGAATCATTATATTTCAACTCATCTAGCCCTCATTAAAGTATTAAACACCACCTGCCTGTCTTCCTTAATAGCTGTGTGGCTCAGAGTCACCCCGTTGAGGCTTCCAACTTAAGTCCTCCTTAATTAGCTGTATTTGTGATCATGTTACCTTTGGCAGTGGCCGCAGCCAGTTAATCTACCGAGTGTCACGGTTTGTCGGCGTGTTCTCACTGGGTTTAGAAGAAGTCAGTGTGAAAGTTTAGACCTTTAAAGTTCACCTGAAGAGAAGTCAGGCGAGGGGAACGTGTTCCACAGGAGGAATGTTTGTCGCAACACTGAGCTGCACTGGTGCAAGAGGATTAAACATATTTACTCTTAGATTTAGGGCAGCTAATCGGTGTGTGTTTGTGTGTTTCTTTCTCTGTGTGTGTGTGTGTAGTTTCAGGGTGGAGTTTGGTCCTTGAACATGCTGGTGTGTGACAGCCTGATGACCATGGATGTGATGCTGTGCACCGCATCCATTTTCAACCTCTGTGCCATCAGCGTGGACAGGTATGTGCGTCTGGTCCGATGAAGTAACCATATATCTGCATTTACATGACAGAGATCTTCAGTTTGTTTAGTGGAATAAGGAAACCACTTAGGGGATGGGGATGATTCATATGTATACATTTAGAAAAAATACTCAATTTGTATCCCTTAACCAATCAGACAACACTTTTCATGTTTTCGTATTGTAAAGACTACAATTTAAAATCATGGAGAGCTGTAGTGAAGTGTTCACGACACTCGATCATAATGGGAGAGAAGTGTTCTGCTCCTACACTGAATTGTTGTTGTGCTTTGAAGAAGGCGTGAGCAGTCCATTAGTTTTAATTAAAATTCACATAAACAATAAAGGTGAAGTGATGGAGGCGATTCTATCATCCATTTCTATTTTTAACAACTTAAGTGCTGCCATTTCCCGGAATCTGTAGAAGGGAACAAACACAATGTCCTCAAACTTTAAGAAAGGATTAATAAAACACTGCTATTAGTGATTACAAAAGCTGAGTATGACATGCAGAACAAATGCTGACAAGTGCCAGTTTACTGTAGCTCAAACCAGAAAACATAATGAAGATTTAAGCAAATTCAATGTGTTATATATTGGCCTTATTTTATATACAGATTTGTATACAAACTGTTGGGAGGAGCCTGAGGTCTAATAATTGTTCTGCCAGTGGCTGCTTCAAATGTGATACTCAAAACGTGTCATCTCTTTTGAAAAGCTTCTCTCAGAATCATTTTTAGGAAAACCTTGTCTGTCATTTAAAAAAAGGAACCACGTTTTCAAAATGTTAAAGCAGCAACCTTCAGCTCATTGTGTTGGTTTCACTGACTGACTCATTTTAAAACATATATATATGCTAAACTATATATATATATATATATATATATATATATATATATATATATATATATATATAGTGGAACGTTTAGCAGCTAAACAGACAGATACTTCACTCAGGCCTTGGAGGAGAACAAAAACAGAGATAATAGAAAGTTAAGAGTGGACTTTTAGGGTCAGGTTGACAGAAACACTCCAAATGTTGCTCAATGTCTGCTCAATGCATAGGAAATACTTGCAAACACATTTACCATATCATCTTTATAAAAATGTTTTCTATCGCTTGTTACACTGCCTCAAATTGGCCCCTACATTTTTTTTAGGAATATAAGTTAGAGTATGGTCGAAACCCATGCAACCATACAGTTTAAATATGGCTCAATTTAAATTTTTATTTTGCTAAATGAATGGGCTAACAGGTTTACCAATCTTTCCTGATACAGAGTTGCTCATTGAGATTTGATAGCAGCAGAACAAAAAGTAATAAAAACAGGCAGTGCGGACTCTGCAGTGTAGATTATTACACAATTACTGTTTTAGCTGAGTGTTAGCCTCTAATTCTGAAGATAGAATAAAACTCAGCGTTTACGGATAAGCGGGAGAAGATGGGTGGATGGATGGTTTATAGAACAAAGCAGATGGGAGCTGCAAAAGGTCTCTGCATGGCATATGGCTAATTTACATTTAACTCATGAAAACTCGTAAAACGCAGGAATAAAAAAACTGCCTTGATATCTTGAGTTACAGGGATGCCCTCGTGTATCTGTTTCTTATTTAATTTTTTATGTAACTGCTTCGATAAAATGTGGACAGTATGAGTAAATTGGAGGAAATCGATTTGACATTCAGAATAGTTTTGACCTTTTTTGGGGGATATCTGGTCTAAATGGTCTGTTTAGTAAGTAAAGTAAGTGAGTGAAGATGTACATTACACATTAGAAACCCCAGGAATCATGTTATATAATAAAAACAAATATTAGACCTTTGAATGGATTTGTAATTACTGTTTGACTAAGTAATTTAAAGATTTATTAGGTGTTTAATTAGTCTTGTTTTTGACCCTTCCTCATTTGTTTTACAGGTTCATTGCCGTGTCCATCCCACTAAACTACAACCGTAAACATGTGGACCACCGTCAGATCGTGCTGCTGTCGGCCACGTGGCTGCTGGCCCTGGCTGTGGCCTCGCCCGTCATCTTTGGCATCAACAACGTACCGGACCGTGACCCTAGCGAGTGCAAACTGGAGGACAACAACTATGTGATTTACTCCTCCGTCTGCTCCTTCTTCGTCCCCTGCCCCATCATGCTCCTGCTCTACTTTGGGGTTTTCCGTGGGTTACGACACTGGGAGGTGACTCGTAAGGTCAAGCTCCGCAGCAGCATAGAGGCTTGCAGGAGACTGCAGCATGCGGCCGTGGCCACCGCCCTCCCCCAGCTCACAGGCACCATCCCCGGACCTCTGCCCATGCCTCTGCCCAGGATCATCGAGAGGGACTTGGCCCAGTCTCGGTTGGACGACACGGGCGACTTCATGCAGCAGGAGATCCCTTATCCCCGGCAGTACAGAGAGAACTCAGTGCCCACGGTGACCTACAGCCAGGTGCACCGCAAGAAGAGAGCCAAGATCAACTGCAGGGAGAGGAAAGCTATGAAGGTGCTGCCTGTCGTAGTAGGTGAGTGATCACGTTCCCCCTCTCTACCAATCAGAGGCTGGTGTGACAGCACAATCTAAATAAAACACAGCTAAAGAACCATAGCAGTGTTTTTAGTCCCTAACCTTTAATCACTACTTTCCATTAATGCCAAGTGTAGTTCAAGCTTTGTAGTACTTGTAGCACTTTTACAAATAAGATATGATAAGACATCATTCACCTATTCACATTCATTCATACAGAGGCTGCCTTACAAGACGCCATCTGCTTAGGGTGAGTGACATTCACACACCTACAAACCGTTGGCCATCAGGAGCAATTAGGTTAAGTGTCTTGCCTAATGCCTAACACATTGACATGTTGACTGCAGGGGATGGGGATTGAACCAGCGACCTTCCAATGGGTGGACTACAGGTCTACCTCCTGAACCACAGTTCACTAAAGCAATTTGTGAACACTTCTACGCTTAAGCTAGAATAATTCATCCAAGGCTGAACGGAAGAAAATATACATGGGTGTCTATTGGACCCTTTTGGATTGAGGACGGGGTTGTTATGTACATGTCGAGTGAGAAGCAGCTTCACGTCAAAGTAAACACAAATAAGGGTGAGACAATGACAAGATGATCAACCATATTAAATGCTTTTAAGGAAAATGTATTTTCTCTGCTCTGTTAGAAGAGCACTTGTGGATGACAGTAAAAATAAATGGTTTCAGGATGGTTGCTCTTGAATTGCAGATACATTTGTGAGATTTAAATTACAGCTTGCATGCTGCAAATTTGCTTAAGCTGACGCCTTAGCTGCAAAATGATTCAGCAGGCGAGTGAGAAAGTATTAGATGCAGATGGCGTCCACCAGCGGGGAATGAGGACTCTCAGTGTCAGTCTCAGTGGGATCCATAAATATAGATGTTTATCTGACCCGAAGTCTCAAAATAAAACAAAAAAATAAAAATATAATATACTTTGAAGATTTTTGCCTGAGAAATAAAGGAATCTTTTTTTAATTTTGAGTCATTATTCGTCTTCAATCTCAGTTTATATAATATTTTGAGCAGTATTCCGGACAGAAAGCAAACCAGATTCAACTTCTTTCTGATTCTTGCTTCTCCTCAATATTTGTAAGAAATCAAAAATGTCAGACGATGACCTTTATGGTGTTTGTTTACTTGTAGAAGATCTTAGAAGTAGTGTTTTTTCAAGTTGAAATGTTGTTTCCTCAAGGGGCATTGTGCCTTACATTATACCCATGTGTGTATTTTAGATATCCGTTTATTAACTGAAGCAGGAAATGAGAGGGGAATGGCTCATGACAGAAGGTGAGGTGCTTTAGTGCTGAACAATTCAATATGTTAATTACGACCCTGTTTAAAATTGGCACTGCAGCAGCTGTTTGTAGTGCCTCTTAATCAAACAGATCAGAAAATAAATTATTAACACCTTTCCAACAGCATCTCTTCTAAGTGAATAATAATAGTTTTTCTGAAATGTTTACCTACGGCTCGTTTTGAAAAATGGACTTTGGATGACAGAACAGTCATTTCGCTTTAACTTGTCAACAGTTTAATTATCGTTGTGTTGCAGCTCAGGTACTGGAGGTTTATGAAGGGATAAAAGCCTCACCTCTGACTTTCAGTCTCTTAACGAGGAGCTGCCATCATAGCTTAAAGCCCTCAATCCAGTTATTATGCAGCACATTGTGTCACGCCGTGCCCACGTGCCAAAACAGGCTGAGATCTGGCATCATACATCACTGTTTGGATCAACCACCCACCAAAGATTACTCAGGTTTGTCTGAAAATATTACCCAACACGTACTGTATATAGTATTGTACAATTTACTACTACTTCTAACTGCAGTGCTCAGCAGGTGTTCAGCCAACATTAGTTTAGTGATGTATTGCAGCACCAAACCGTCCACACTAATCTATGTCAGTAGTAAAGGGTTCAACTGAGCACAAGCTGATTATTTACAATCCCCATCTGTACATCGCCATCAGTGGACTGCAGAGGTAAACATCACATGGGCATAAATAACTAACAACAACTGACAAGAATGTAGCCTTTCACTTAAAGGGGACCTATCATGCAAAATGCACTTTGTGATGTCTTTTATACATAAATATGTGTCCCCGGTGCGTCGGGGAACTCACGCAGCGTCAGAAAATAAAACCCTCTCTCTTTTCCTCCGTACCCAAATCTTTTAAAAAACGGGTGTACAACGAGCGGATACAGATTCCATCTGAACTGACATCAAATCGGCAGCGGACCCACCACCTATCAGAAACAATGCCTGACGTGTTTTGGACGTAATCTCGTCTTTGTTTACATTAGCAAGCCTCGCTAACACTCAGAGCTAACCTGTACTGTAGAGCACATGTGTTTAAAAGGCAGGAAATAAAAAAAGGAACTCACCTTGTGATAAACCCGCAAGAGAAAAAGCATTTGAGCTCCATACTGTTTCAGAATCCTTGATGTGGTTTAGAACAGGATGGCGTTTTATCACAGCAGAATTTAACTTTATCTCCGGTTGAATTCTGATCAGGCATTAGCTCCGCCTCCTCGTTTTTTTTTTTTCAAGTTAAGGACCCAAAATCCGCGTTTCTCTAACAGGGCTGCAAAAGAGGGGTATGAGCAGTATGAGGCATGGCTACAATGGGTGAGCTGTTTGGTATTTTAAGCAAAAAACTTCACAGACATATTTTGTATAGGTATGGCCCTACAATATATTTTTCCAATATAGCATAATAGGTCCACTTTAAATAAAAACTGTAATTTACTTTCCTATTACGATTAAGAGTGGGGCATATATAAAGCATTGTATTGCCATATTTCGCGTGGCAATATTGTATTGATTCACCATTTTTTATTATTATATAAAACAATTGTTTTGCGAATACAAATGTAACTTTTTGGTCACAATTGCTTTTTCTATCTATTAGATGATAGTTTTTTTTCCCGGGGTAAAGTCAGCGGGACAGGCAGGAAGTAGCTAAAAAAGGAGGCAAAGAAAAAGGTAATAAAATACTATATATACAAATATATTTTCGCAATGCTCAGCAATCATCAAGTGATAATAATTTGTATCTCGTTGTACTTAAATGTACTTAAAAGATGATCTCATTCTATTAGGAATATAAAGAAAATGCCCGCTTTTGTTCCTCTTTTCTGTCATTAGAAAATACATGTTTATTTCAACATTAATACAAGATATTTTCTGCTTCACTGAAAAGTCCATTCTAAGTGTATGGAAACTGCTTTTCACATCACACTCTGGTAGTATATAAAAACTGTCGGGTAAAGATCAAGTGTGCTGGTAATTGGAGTTTCTGTCATGTAGTGTGCCTAAAATACAACGACAGAACTAGATAACTGACACAGATCCTACTTTAACATAGTTTTATCAGAGCCAGCCTGAATTAATCTCATGAATAATAAGTGATGCATGATGCCCTACTGACAGTACAGCTGTCGCATATTATGCAAAGTCCTCCAATCTCCTGAAAAGAGACATAAATCTCATCCATCAACCTCTCAGCACTGAGGAACGGCTCGTATCCTTTTTTATCACCAACATATAACGACATCAGAGATAAACAGCCTTAGTGCGATTGACAAAGTTATTCATGGTCCTCACCGATAAAGGAAACTCGGCTTATTAAAGGCCGGTTATCAATTTCCTGCTTGAAAGAGTCAGACCTCTGGTTAGTTTGAGGAGGGTCTGTAAATCAGAGGCCGGACTGCAAGAGCAAAAATAACCTTGAATGAAATCTGCCTGTCTCTGTGTGGTCAGCTAAAGTGGCATTCCTTAGGGTTTCAGCCCTGGTTGATTTTCTATTTCTATTTGAGTGAAAAAAAAAAAAGGAACTGTCTTAAACTTGGACTCCTTTGTTTACTTCTGTAACATGATGATATCACTATGTAATGTTGGGCGGCATTGGCTCCGTCTGTAGGGACTTGGCCTTGGAACCGAAGGGTCACCGGTTCACGTCCCGATCTGAAAATAATACAAAGTATGGACTGATTGCTGGAGAGGGGCCAGTTCACCTCCTGGGCCCTGCTGAGGTGCCATTGAGCCAGGCACTGAACCCCTAACCGCTCCTTAGCGCCGGACAAACACATCGTACGTGATAGGCTAAGGGACGGGACATCTCTAAGCGATTGACCAATCACAACAGATCCGTCCAGCTAACCAATCAGAGCAGAATGGGCTCTGGTTTCAGACAGAGGGTGAAAAGAGGTGCTGCAGCATAGGCAGTATGAGAAAAATAAAGAGCTTTTTGAACATTAAAGCATGGAGACATGTCACAGTGGAGACACACAAAACAAATATAAGCCTGGAAATTAGCATAATAGGGCCCCTTTAAGGGATTAGCATTCTGGATTCTTGTTGTGGACACATGAGCTTGTCACAGACACACAGTTAGTTATATAATACTATACAGTAATTCAGTCAGTAGGCCATAGGCTTAATCACCATTTTTTTTAACAGCAACAGAACATATTACATTGGAAATCCACTTTATCTCCAGATTCAAAATAGTTCTGCCTCTTTATCCATCCTTTAAACCTTTGCACTGAAAAAAACTGTGAGGGGAAATAAAAAATCAAGAAGTCCAAAATGTATCAAAGTCCCCGGAGCAGTGATGACTTGAGTGAAAATATGAGACATCAGGGTCATACATCTGCACATCGCCTCTAATGAAGTCAGTCTGGTGGTGAATCATTCTCAGTCACACTGTCTGACACCTTTTTCAATAAAGCTGGATTTAGGGTGGGGAAAAAACATGGACTACTAGAAATGAATGACATCAGTTACGAGGAGAGAGGGACTAATCTTTGAGAAGAGACGGGTGAAGGGATGGGGTTATTAATATATTAAGTTCTAATTTCTGCCTGCAGTTACAGTCTGAGGTCATACATTGGAGTAATATTCTCACATTGAGCTTGACACCTAGTGTGGAATATAAATAATTCTGAAGGTCGTGTTTCAGATTAGGGTTTTGCACCTGTAGTGCTAGTCTTACATTTGGCGCTGGTACCTGCCAACCTTGTAATGCAAGCTTGTATATTTAAGTCTGTGCTTGTTTGCCTTTCAACGTTTCGCAAGATTGGGGATTACATTTGATGTTCGGAAACTTCCCCTCTGGTCAAACTTTGATCTCATCTCTTTTTGGGTGAATACAGATGTATTATTCGGTACAATTTAAAGTGTTAGGGTCATTTCACCTGCTTCAGTAAAGCTCGAATCTCATTTCCAGCGGTCTGTAGCAGCGCTAAAGTCTATTAGTCAGAAGTGAAATACCCTGCCCTCTCTCTCGTGTGGATTCTCTGTTTTCTTTACACAGCGCTGAGTATTAAACCTCTCGATGTAGTAAATTGGTAAACACTCTGATGTTTTTTAACTCATGATTTCTAAAATATGTCTTTATATTTCGTAGCTGCTACATTGTACTGCCATGTGGTTAATGCTTTTATATGCTGCTCATGCTCTTTCTGCATATCATGTATTTATTTTTGCTATGTATATTAGGAATGTGCGATTATGGCAAAAATCATAATCACGATTATTTGGGTCAATAATTGATATCACGATTATTAAATACGATTATTCATTGACTTTGAAAAAATCAATTTATTGAACTTTAAAACAAATACAAATAATAATTTGAACAGTATCTTTTTAACTGTTGATTACCCTGAACGTATAATTCAACTGAAAAACCAATACAAAAATAAATCAAATAAATGATACATTTAAATAAATAATATCAAAATAATAAATACCAATAAACAAGATCAACAAATATTTTGGAGCGCACTTCCACAAGCTACTAAACATATGTAAATATGATAAATACAAATAAATGAGACCAAAATTAATTAGATCAAATATGTTGCAGTGCACTGTCACAACCAAGCAAAGCAAAATAATTGTTTTTTTCGATTATGTTGTTTTCGTAATTGTGGCAGGCCAAAATCGTAATTGCGATTAAAATACGATTAATTGCACAGCCCTAATGTATATAAATGTCATGTTCTTAAATGTTGTATGTGAGGGACTACGGATGGAAATGAGCTAAAAGCTCAAATCCGGCATATTTACATTTTGAAGCATTAATTGTTAAAAATGTTCATCAATGTGCATTGTCCCTCTTCAAATAAATGATTAAATGAAATAAATGAAAATGAAAACGATCCAGCAGGCATGAAATTGAAAGCACTTCGTTGTCAACACATTTTTACAGGCATAAACCTATGGTATATTAAGACATTAATATACCATAGCCTGACACAGCAGATCCACAGATGGCCGAAAGTTACGTTATTATTTCATGTGACAAATGTAACTGTTTGGTTGATTCGATACGTGTTTATACTCTGGTAGTGATCATCATGTTAATAAAACTGACAGACATACCTATATAAGGCCTATTTATACTTTTTTTTTTTCAAAATACCAAACAGATCATGCATTTTAGCCATGCCTCATTTTGCTCAATTTGACATTTTTTAGCTCTGCTTTTGCAAGGGCAGATTATGTGAGAACAGCACCATCTACAGGCCTGGCATATGTACTACAGCGTCTCCAGCGCTTTCGAACGGCAATGGCCGTGGCTGTCTCCTCCTGATTGGTGGAGTTGGCCCAATAGCCGTAGCGCCACTGTCCTGACGTCCTGATTCAAATCTGGATCAGTTTTTATCACATCCGTTGCAGCCCCTTTTTTAGAGATTTGGGTATGGAGGAAAATAGAGAGGTTTGTGTTTTCTGACACTTGGTGAGTTCCCTGGAACACCGGGGACACATATTCATGTATAAAAGACGTACAAAAGTGCATTTTGCATGATAGGTCCCCTTTAAAGGTGGGGTAGGTCATTTTGGAGAAACCAGCTCGAGTGCGCTAGAATTTGAAAATACACACCCGGAGAAAATCTGCCACTTCCTTACAGAGCCCCTCCTCCAACACACACGAATGCGCACATGACCAATGAGGGCACGAGATAAGTTTGTGCACAGATGGAAGGCTGACAGGCAGGTAGGCCATCCAGTTATTTTAGCCGGGCCGGCTAAAATCATTGGTCGTGCTTTTTACAGTACTACGGCTTCCACAGATGACATTTTTCTATGGATTTTTTTGTCAAAGCACTTAAGATATTCATTGCTATCGGGATGTTAAGAGCATTCCATGGAATATAACAAAAAGTGTATCTCGAGCCGGTTTCTCAAACTTACCTACCCCACCTTTAAGTTATTAGTTACTTTGCAAATTGAGATTAATATTACAAAATATAAATCACCAAATAAATTAGGCCAGTTATATTTCAATAAAAATGTAGCTATTCAACAATATATATATATTGTACATTAGTTAAAATTATGTTTCTCATACTGCCTGTCTCGCAGCACCTCTTTTCACCCTCTGTCTGAAACCAGAGCCCAGTCTGCTCTGATTGGTTAGCTGGCCGACTCTCTTATGATTGGTCAACCGCTTAGAGATGTCCTGCCCCTTAGCCTATAACATACAATGTGTTGAAGCGCTAACCAATAGAAGCAGAAGTGTTACATAGTGAAACATGTCAATATAAAAAACCTATATAACACACTATAGGAAAGGCATAATAGAGTCCCTTTAAGTTTGCAAGGTCTGAGTAATTCCTGCCCTCCCGACAGTAGTTCACAGTTTGCTGTGATACACGGTACAGTGCTCACAGCTCAATACAGAAAGTTTGGATTAAAACTAACTACAGGAGCAGAAGTAACCACGTTGGACTTTTTCCAAATAACTAAGTTGGCTACAAAACCCAAAGAAGAAACCGGATTTTTCTCTTTGACAAGAAAATTACTGTGCCAATATTTTTAATTGCTTTGAGCCCTCTGACAGTAATGTTGATTTATGTAATTCTACTGATCCTGCCAACAAAAACGAGAAAGATGGTAAAAAATAATGCCTTAATTGGTTAACAATCCCCAGTCACGCATTGTCACAGATTTTGTGACATATGGTCACAATATTTAGTTTTACGCCTGGCACAAAGCTCCATGAAGAAGTGAATCCATCACATTTGTTACAAACGCCTGCATCTTATTATGTACAATAAATCCCGAATGACCAAGTCTAATCTTCCCATTTCATGCAGGTTGCTTCCTGTTCTGCTGGACTCCGTTCTTCGTGGTGCACACGACGCGAGCCATCTGTCTGACCTGTGACATCCCTCCTGCTCTGATGAGCACCGTCACCTGGCTGGGCTACGTCAACAGCGCTCTAAACCCCATCATCTACACCATCTTTAACACAGAGTTCAAGAAATTCTTTAAGAAGTGTTTCCAAATTTCCCTCCGAAGACGCTAAAGGAAGGAACTGGGAGGTGATAAGGGATTAGAAAGTGTGAGGCTAACAGTTAGACCGTCAACTCATTACTGGGCTGCCAGCTGGACGTGGATTGTCGATTTGGCCGACAGTTTAAAAAAAAAAACACTTTAACACCGTTTCTGATGATGTTTATTACATTTTAGGGTCCATTTTATCATTTGGTGAAGTACTTTCGTGATCCTCTGGGATTACTGCCAAAACTAAATGATGACCTTTGGGGCTTAAAGCTGCAGAAAACATGTGAACCGACTCAGAAAATTGTCTGAGGGGAGCTAATCACCATTTCTAGTCTTTCCGCAAAGCACTTCTTTATCGTTTATCAGCCCTGGATAAAGTTATGGTCTGCCAGCTCCAGTTAACTACATGGGATTTGTACAGAGCCTGGTCTGCCTGAAGGGATCATCAGGGCGAAAACTGTCCCCAGGAGCCCAAATAAGCTTCAACAGACCAGCTAAAAGCAGCTACACGAGTAAATATCCTTTAAGAACGGCCAATGATTTTTACACTAAAATAAACACTTGGGAAATACGCTTTCTTGCTGAGAGTTGGATGAGAAGATCGATAGCTCTCTCATGTCTCTGTAATATGAAGCTACATTTAAGCAGCTGATTGGCTTAGCTTGGCCAAAAGACTGGAGATCAATGAAACAGATTGTGTCAATTGCTTACCAACACCTCTCAGGCCTAACATGTTAAATCTTTAATTGAATCTTTAGTTAAATCATAAAAACACATTTTTTTTAAATGTGTAGTTTTGAACACATTCACATTCGGATTCTTAATACACATTTGAATGCTGCACAGCTTTTTTGTACTTTTCTTTGCATATTAATCCTGTTAAAACCCAGTATTTCAACAGGGATTTCATTAGTATCTAATATATTTAAGATTTGATTCCAGCCGTGCCTCTGTAGGAATGTGTCTAACTTGTATGATCCAAACTGATCCACGCACACAACAACAAAAAATGTAAACGAAAATGTCCAAACATCAATTCAGGCTTAAAATGTAATAACACACAAGACATGGACTACTCCTTGGGTTGAGGTAGTAACTTAGTAGAAACTAGTGAAGACACCAGGCTAGCCGATACCTAGTCTCCAGTCTTTATGCTTACCTAAGCTATCTGTCTCCTGGCTGTCGGACAGTGGTATCAAAAGTCTTATCCAGCTCTTGGCAAGACGAAGGAAAAGAGGAATTCTTCAAATGTTCTGTTTCTGAACTAAACATTTACATCAGCTTTCATGGTACTGTCCAAAGTCTGGAGAGAAGAACATTATTTTTGGGAAATGCCAAAAATCCCCAATGGGATACAAGAAGAAAGCTGGTCAAAGAAAAGTGCTAACACTACGCTTCATCAACAAAATATCTACCAGGAATCTGAAGTGTGACATAAAGAGGTATGAGAGATGTAGAGTTTCCCTTCAGAGGACTTAAAGGCCAGCTTCATCCAGACAACTGACACTTCCCTGTCTTGGATCACTGACTGTCTCTGAGTGCTGAATCGGTAAAATGGTTTATAATGGGGAACATGGCACAGTTTGAACCCGCTCACCATGACTTTTTCTAGTAATTTGAGCATTGTGTTTTGATGAAAAGAAACATTCATACAATATTAAGTAGCATCATGCCTTAACATTCATAGAAAGATTTTTTAGTCTTGTCATAACAGAAGAGAAACTCTTCTGAGGAGTTCATGGGATTTAAACTCCTTCTCAGTGAACCTTGAGTTACACTCATCAACACAGAGGCTGAGGAGTCCCTTTGTTTCAACTATTTCCTCACTGAGCAAAAAGGAACGTTTATCTTCCCGCTAATTGTTTTACGGTGGCAGTTAACTCCTGCCACCGTAAAACAAAAAAATAAATACTAAAACAGGTTATGGTTCATTATTTTCATGTTCAACATATAGGCTACTTCTCATTATTGCCACATGTGAAATTGTGATGCAGCTTTCTGTACGTTTAAGACCTTTATCATTGCTACAGAAAATCTACTCAAAACATTTTAATAACATCAGACTTGTCTTGCTTAACAACCTGATCTTATTGTATTGAAATGAAAAGAAAAATGGTGTTGTCATGATAACACTTTTCCTTTTTAAAAGGAAACATTTATTATGTCTACCAACAGCAATGTTTAATTCAAAACACATTTTTTTCCACAAAATCATTTGGTATGTAGTAATTGCGAGAAATAGATGTCCTTGTAATTTCTATATGTTGTGGCAAGGATGTTGGTCAAATAACATACTAAACGAGAAAGTGTTTCAAAATATTTGTTGTCATGGTGGCACCAATTTCCAATTTTGAGTCATCTCATTTCCTTTTGCTACGTAAATACATAGCATAATATTACAGTACGTGTGTAAAATCAGCTACACTGTAGACAAATTAATTGTATTTGTTTACTAAGTGATGATGAATATCAGATAGTTTGCTTTCTAATGTTTACATGATAATGAATTAAATGTTTAAGTTGCTATAATGTACAAAACTAAATTTAAGTTTTGTAAAAAAAGTGGTTCTGTTTTGAAATGGAAAATATCCCGGGTGGCAGGCTGGCTTAAATTGAAGCCATTGCTGCCTGTCACCACAGTGTGTAGTTTGGTTACTGACTGTGCCTATTGTATGCCATATCCACGTTTTATGTGGAAACCTTTCTAATAAATGGTGTCATCTTTATAAATGTTCCAGTGGCCTTCGGCTGTAATGTCGTCAGCTCTGTTGGAGGTCAATGTTGTCAAACTATCTTGTCTTTTTATCTGAGATAACTTCATGTGCCAGACGGCATCACGCTGAGCAAACAGACCTTTCATTTAACATTTTGGATGAGCCACATTCCGATGCCAATTTTAAAACTACATTTATCGCATGGACGGACTGAGACAATAAGCCCCTGGACACAAGCAACGGGCCCAGCGTTTCTACATACTGTACACAAAACATGACGTGGCTGCATCGTTTTTAACAATGTAGTTGTTTTGGGTCTCATTGTGGTCATTTTGCATTCTTTTTTAGACCTTTTGGGTCTCATTCTGTTAGTTTTGCATCACTTTTAAGATATTTTGGGTTCAATTCTGGTCATTCTGCATCTCATTCTGATGGTTTTGTGTGCCTTGGTTGTTATTGTGCTTCTCAACCCAATTCCAACTGGAGGCACATTCAGAAGCATAAGAAGAAGAAAAAAAGAAGTGAAATGTACAGATATTAACTTTTGCTTTAGTACTCGAGTCCCTTCAAGAAGAACATAGATACCTACATGAAAGGGAAAAGTTCCCTTGCAGAAGATGATATCATGCAGTGATAAAATACACTTTTTCTTATCATGGACGTCAGCAGCAGCAGCAGCAGCAACAGTGGGGGGAAGAGAGGTGAAAATTGGAGCAAGGTGTGAAAGTGGTCTTGAAAAAAACTGCAGCAGGTGTGGAGTTTAATCAAATCTGTTAAAGTCTGCATGACTACAGAACCCCAAAGAACAGGTCACACTTAGTCACTTGGTGTGAGACATCTTGGGAAAAGTTGATGTATACATAGACATTATTATCCAGGCTTTGATCATATTTGGGATATAGTATGTACATGAGGCACCTGGGTGACAATTATCATAGTGAGGTTAATGATCGTCTGCATCAGAGCATTGCAGTTTGTATTTGAAACTTACACATCCAGCAAATCTGTCATTTGTGTATCGACTCAGCTGACTGGCTGTCTGGATTCCACTTCTCCATCCTATCTTTAGTGAATCTTTTGCTCTAATGTTCAAAAAGCTCTTTATTTTTCTCATACTGCCTGTGCTGCAGCACCTCTTTTCACCCTCTGTCTGAAACCAGAGCCCAGTTTGCTCTGATTGGTTAGCTGGCCGGCTCTGTTATGATTCGTCAACCACTTAGAGATGTCCCGCCCCTTAGCCTGGACAATGTTTTGGATCGCTAGGCAATAGAAACGTGAGTGTGTTTACGGAGGTAAACAAAGGAGTCCAATGGAGGCGTTTAAGGTGGGGGGGGTGTGTGTTGGAGAGAAACTCCCTCTGGCATTGACTTTGGTATTTCAGCCTTTGCAGACCATTTACATGCACAAAAACCTATATGACACACTACAGGAAAGGGAAAACCCCTAAAAGCACAATAGGGCCCCTTTAAATCAGATGTGCATGACTCTGTTTTAACTTTTGTAAAGTCTGAGCTAATATAGACTTGTATAATGTAGGTTATCAATGTGCAATCATAAGCATCCAACTAGGCCAACAGGAGGTCACTGTAGCATCCAAAGCTGTTGGAAAATAACAGTTTTAGGATGCCACACAATATCTTACAATAAACAGCCAATACTTTATAAATGCAGGTATGACTTTTTTTAATGTATGCATTAATAAAGATGTTTTAGTATGCAGTACATAATGCAGTGTGTACAGTGATAGGCAATTATCATAACATGATAACCCAACTGACGTCATTTGATCATTTACAAATGAAAGGTTTTATTTCCGCTGACATTTGCTGCTGTTTCAGTTTAATTAAGATATTGTAAACCATACTAGAGATTTACTCTGTATCGTTTCACAGACAACTACAATATCCTCCCCTTTATCAGTATTATAAAACCAACCGCCACTTGAATTCAAATTGAAACAGGGATCTTTGTCACACCAAAGGCAGTCCTCTGGCTCCCTCTGCAGGTTATAATACTATCAAATCCCACGAAAGGACCAACATATATCTTCTATCTCTGTGCTATAGAGCTCCATTCTTGTCCGAAGTCCATTAAAAACACCTCAGCACCAAATGTGAATTATTCCAAAAAGTGATTCCAGTTGGATAAATTAACCTTATTCAAACAACGGCCATTAACAAGGTTGTTTCTTACTCAAGAAATGTCGTATTTCTTTCTTAAAGTTTTGACACATTACAAGTTAAAGAACAATAAATACGATATAATACTGCACGTTTTTCTTATAGTTAACGCAACATGGAAGATCAGCTGCACAGTATATTATATTGCACATATACACCTAGTTAGATTTTTCCGTGGTTTGATCATAGCTGCATGTCACTTACCTGTGTTCTGTTTATATAAAATAAGAGAGACATTTCTGCATTTCCATTGTAGCAGTTCCTTATATGAAAGTCCGTGAGTTTCGATTCATATAACCAAACATCAAACAAGTATGACCACATGAGCCCCAGTAAGAAAAGAAGTCTGGGTTTAGTCCTGCAGTGTTGGTGTTTTCGTTACAGCGAGTGCAGATAATAAAGTCAAACCTCCAACTTGATGCGGTGAATTCGTCACTCTTCTGTCTTTGTTGCAGCCTGCAGATAAAAGTACACACAACAACATCAAAGTGGCTCCTGTTTGAAACTTTACAAGTAATCACTCCTACTGCAACAAATGTACCCATAGCTGGTTTGCTTTGCTTACAGTCAAACTATTTCTGTTTTTACTTTTTTGGGGCACGCACAACACAAAACTAAAGATACATGGCCAAAGACACTAAATGTTGATAAAGACAGGTAATAGGGCGGTGGTGGCGAAGTCCATAGGGACTTGGCTTGGCAACTGGAAGGTCACCAGTTCAAGTCCCGGAAAGACCAAGTGCTACCGAGGTGTCCCTGAGCAAGGCACCGTTCCCTACACTGCTCCCCGGGCGCCGTACATAATGGCAGCCCACTGCTCCTAACACTACGATGGGTCAAATGCAGAGAAACCGTTTCGTTCCTGTACTACGTAATGACAATAAGTTGAATCTAATCTAATGTACACTTAGCTCTATGACAGTGTTTAATAAAAAGCTAGTTCTTAGTGATACATTAACTATTGATATAAATATTAAATGAAATTATCCTGTGTAATGTAAAAGGGGTCACAAAGAGATGTATCACTTAACTTATTCAGCTTATTGTTTTGGTTTTTTAAGGCCTCAACTTTAATTGCTATTTGATTTAACATACATGGACCTGAGTGCAGAGCCACACAAACTGGGGACATAAAAAAGTGTGAGCTTGTAAGCAAAAAATCATAACTCACTTTCTCAGCAGCAGCGGCCATCAGAGCTTCCAGCTCCTGAGTCCAGCCGAGGGCCTGCACCAGGGCTTGCACACCGCTGACCACGTCGCCCAGCTGCACCACATCATGAGGACTGCGGCGCCCGGCGAACGGACCCACCCGGTCCCTGTTGATGAGCAGACGGGGCACAGAGGGGCGCACAGTCCCCGCCAGACTGGCAAAGGGTTCCACCTGCAGTGCAGAGAGTCAAACAGCAGCTTTTAAGGAGGACTTGTTGTTGTAAGGTGCCAGACAAATATAATTTTGGGGGGTATTTTTTCTTTATTCATGGTGATGATGCAGACAGAAAAACAGAGTGAAGCAAAGTTATTACAACCAAGAATCTCAACAACATAAAGTACAACTATTTGACTTTTAACATAAAACCCTGTCCCTCTTATCATATAAAAAAATATATTGCAAAAATGGCAACAAAGACGTATTCTTTGATAAAACATTGTTTTACATATTTTGTATACGAAAAGGTTTCCTGGTGGCCCACTGGGATTTTTTTTTTTTAACCTGAACTTTGAAATCTGGACACAAGAAAGAAATGATTTTGCATGTAGTACAACTGTCAGTTTCAATGTTTGTTCTCCAGTGTTGAACCTGTCCCTCACTTATGTCCCTTCAACATATTGTTTATACTAGGAAAATGTCAGATCACAGGTAGCAAGATGTAGTTTAAAATCTGTGGCGCTCACCTCCAGTGATGTTCCCATGACGATCAAGAGGTCTGCCAGTGGGAAATCTGTGAGATACTTGAAGAAGTTAAACGGAAGCTCCTCCCCGAAAAACACAATGTCGGGCTTCACCACGCCTTTACAGGTGGGGCACTTCGGCACGACACCTGACATCACATCTGACTGAGGAAACACGGAAACAAGATGGAAAGTGAATAATAATTACATTACAAATCTAAAATCCTAGTAAAACTGCAATAAAATAAAGGAAAACAAGACATTACTAAGATTTGAAAACACCTCATGTTTGTAACTTAAACTTAAAAAACGTAACTGATCTTCAAAACATCATTATAACACCTTATCTGATGTGAAAAACTGGTTAAAGAAAGAAGACTTTTTATTTATTTTTAAAGGACATCTATGTGAAGATATGATAACATGAGTAGACAACATGTTGGACAGTAAATAAACAAATACATGCACAAATGATCAACAGTGTCTACAGAACTCCCAACACAGTTTACCAAAAATTAAATTTAACAGAAAGATTTCACTTTGCACTTAATATTCACCGTGGCTAACAGGGGACACAATCATTACATTTCTTTTTAATATTCTTAAAAATATAAAAGCTAAATGTGTAGAATGAGTGTTTGGGTTTAAACTCACCCGTAACTCTCCTCCTTTGTATTTCCTCAGGCAGACCGTGCAGGTGGCGGTGGCAAAAGTACCGTGAGCCTCCACCAACATCTCAGGAGGAATCCCTGCCACTTGAAACACAGTTAAACAAACATCTAGGCTTCAAATGACCAATGATGTGCAGTTATTTCTTTATAGGATCAAAAACAAAACAAAAACAGCTAAATAATTTAAACACATACGCCTCTCCAGCCCGTCGATGTTCTGGGTGTACATCCTGAGGAGCTGACCCTTCTTGTGAAGCAGCCGTACAAAGTGATGGGTCAGATTGGGCTGATAATTCCCTGGGTACAGCTCTTTGGCCAGGGCGAAGAAGGGGTTTGGGTTTTGATGGAAAAAGCCTATCTCGAATATTGCCTCGGCATAAGGCAGGTCATACTGCTGCAGATTGTTGTAGAGACCGCTGCCTGGAGACCTGTGAGAGGGTTATCTTCTGAATACACCTGATATTAACAGGTTTATCTCAATACTGGAAAACATGTCTAATTGTTTTACCTGAAATCTGGGATGCCACTAGGTGTGCTGATCCCGGCTCCAGCCATCACCACCACCCTCTTGTACTGCTGCTCTCTGATGTTCTGGGCCAGGTCCTCCAGGGTCTGCTGCTCCTCGGAGGCACCTCCACCACCACTACCCCGGGAGAGAAACCCTCGAGTCCCATTCCACCAGAGAGAGTTTGTTTGTCTATGAAGAAGCAAAACTAAGATGAGGAGAGTTGTTGATCAATAATGTTTTATATGATACACATTAGTAAGAGCAGATGGATCCTAATCGGTTTGCAGCAACCCTGGACCACACTGACCCACTATAATCCCTCTTGTATTCCCACCACTCCAATTCAATCATGCTTTTTGGGGTTTTCCCCTTTCCTGCAGTATGTTATATAGGTTTGTGTGCATGTAAATGGTCTGCAAAGGCTAAAATCCCAAAGGGAGTTTCTCTGAAAATTAGCATTAGAAGGGACCCTTTTAGTTTTTGGATCATATCCTTCGTCATTGTTTCATTAACCATTATCTCAAGTGTTATACTTTAATTACAAAAATATTTGTTGCAACTTCACAAATGGCAATGTTTTGTGGTTTTTGTTACTATTATGGAAAAACATGTGCATTAAATACCTGCACAGAGCTGATGATGCACCTGCACCAGGGCACCAACTCCTTTGACACAAAACTATTTGAAAAAAAAACATTGTCACAATTAATCATAGAATACTTCCTATTATTTTTATCATAAAGTTGTGATACTAACAACTACTAAGGTGTGTACTAAGGTAGCACTCTATGGTTTTCCACCAACCGTGTTTAGAGAGCGTCCTGCTTGTTCTTGAGCACAGGTGCACACTGAAGAGTCCGACAGGTGATATTAATGAGGAGCTCGCTAAAGAAGCCATAACACAAATTTAACAGCTCCCAGAGTGTTACTCCATGACTGCAACTGACTCAAGAGGATACCTACAAACAGAAAAGAGCTGTCAACACAGTGTCTCCACCTAAAACAAAAGAAAATATGTAACTAATGACTAGCTGCCTACCCAATAATGACAATAATGCTTGTTGTCGTCCTTTGACCTCCTTGTGACTCGGACGTGAGTAACCTTAATGTACATGTAGAGTAGCTACATGTATTTACACAAAACAGCACGGTCGCTTTCTACCAAGCCAAATCACCTAATTCCTTTAACAATTAAAAAATAACTAACTGTGCGATACATTTAAAGTGTTTTGCTTACAAAAAAAATCCACTTTAATGTCCAAACAAATGTTAGCTAACGTTAGCTAGCTTTAGAAACGCCTCCTTCATTTCCCATCATCCTTTGCGCCCAGCAGCAGACCCACAACACGACTGGCTACTAACGTTAGCCGAAGATTCAGCAAAACCCATCAGTTCAGATTTTAAATTAATAGTTTACAGTCTTGTTTCCACTATGAGAGATGTTAGCGGGTTCCTCAAACAGCAGCAGAGCAACAGCTCCACGCCGGAGATGGCGACGGAGTGGCACACATTGGAGGAGTTTCACAACAAAAGGTAAAACGAGTAATACTGCAGCTAGTCCTGCTAATGCTAGGCTAGCTAACGTTAGCTCCCTCATTCATTGTAAATGCCCGCTGAGTCATGCACAGAGCTAGCAGTAGCTCAGGGTTGGCTTGCTAGCTGAAAGTTTCTTCAGTAATATCAGAGCTGAAACTCGGTTTTCAATGTTTCATTTGTTTAACACTTCATTCGGTGACCAATACATAACTTAACGGTTAAAAGCTTTAGACCCAAACTATTGATTTAGGCCAGTACTAGATTAAAGTTAATAACATGTTTTTCTTAGCTGTTTGCTAGCGGGGATATGGATGAGTCCTTAGTCACTGCTCCATCTGAATATCATAACTTCAATGTAGTGCTGTTTGGTCATACATATCACCGTGAAGGTTTGACTGAAAATCATGAAGTTTAAAGGAATCGTCTACAGATTTCTGTTTTAGTCAAATACATTTAAAAAAAGAAGCTTACTTGGCTTGACAAACAGTCCAGCAACCTGGAAGTTGGAGACACAGATATTAGAAACCTTTCATTTTATACTGTGTCAGAAGACGTTTTCAAATCATGTAATGAATTTAAAGACGATTGTATGTGTGTAATTTTAAAAGTTATTCTCAATCAGTTATCTGAATTTTTTTGACAGATTGTGGCATCAGTTGACTCTCAGGCTGTCAGACTTTGTTAAAGATCCTTGCTTTGATACCGGAGATGGCCTCATACAGGTAACTGCATACTCGCATCCTATGATAGACTACCACGAGATATGAGTTGGGATGTACATTAAATCAGTATGCACTTGTATGTCAAAGTGTCATAGCATGTATTGTGAAATATTTAAAATCAGTATCATGATAGATTGAAAGGTGCCTATATTACGATATGACAATAAAGTTATGTTTAAGGGTTTTAGACCGAATCGTTCAAGCATTATTGTTTTGTAATTTGAAATATTTTTTATTGTTTATTTACAGTTTTTATTTTCATAAATATCCAATTAGCTGCCGTTTTATGTCTGAGTTGCAAAAGATAAATTCAGAACCCGTATAACTTGAAGCCTTGGCACTGATTAAAATTATGATAAACTGTAATGTAAATTATTATTTGTTTCCTCTATAACAAGATTGATATTTTCTATGATCTGATCGTTACTTTTTTCCTTTTTAAAGCTCTATGACAACTTCATTAGTGACTTTGAACACAGGTGAGAAAAAGTATATCTAACACTCATTCTAGTCATTATTACCTTCTAGTTAAATATGTTCCGACATTTGCCTGTTTCGATGCTAATCTGTGTTTTGCTTTCTCACCAGAATCAACCCATTGTCCCTCATGGAGATGATACTGTATGTTATCAGACAGATGAAAGGTACAAAATAACATAACAGGCAAAAGGATATATTTCCTAGCAAAAAATACTTTTCTTTCATATCTTAGTATTAACAAAAAAAAAATTGTTTCCAGATCCTAATGATGCCATCACCTTTCTCGAAAAGACCCGGGAAAAGGTGAGTTGATAACAACTTCAAACATTTAGAAAAAGGACTGTTAATGGTGGAATTGAACAACAAACTTAAACATGTCTCTTTCTGTTTCAGGTGAAAAGCAGCGATGAAGCCGCCATTCTCTGCAGGACTTCTATCGGCAGACTTAAGCTGGAGATCAACGATCTTCCTGCCACAAAGGTAAAAGCTCCAAAACTCTGTTCTCTCCCAGATGCAAAACAAACCTCACACCTCATTCACATATAACCCGTTATTGCGCATATTCAACGCCTAGCTGCTGGTAAGGTGCCTGTGTGATGTGTCGGTAACACCGTTAAACAAAGCAACAGCAGTGCATCAAAGTCACACATCCACAACTCATAATTTTTCTTACTGAATTAACTTGAGAAAGGTGGCAAACACAGACACAAATAAAGCAGGAAAAAAAACCGGATGCAGATTTTATGTGACCCGGGATTAAAAGAATCCTTATGGAATCAGTACTATGAATCCACAGAACCCTGAGTTTAAGTAAGGAAAAGTCTGATCAAAGTGTTCCTTATTATAAAATACTTAGTACAAATGACATGCTGGATGATGGTATTATTTCTAAGTAGCCTAACATTTCAAAGGGAAAAATAATACATGGCTTGCAAAACAGAAGCATGTTATAATCAAAGGGAGTACAAAATCAAAAGAAACTTTTAGTTTAATTCTTCTTTGACACTGTTTAAAACAGAAAGTTTACAAATATTCCGTGGCAGACTTATTAACCCATTGTTTAAACTGCTCCTTAGTCAATAAAATATAAATATAAAATATCATTGTATGTAGCACTTCAAAGTTTAGCTTATCTGAAGCTTTTCAGTATTCAGAATTATAAATAAAGATAAAATAATTAGCCAAATGAAAATATAAGAAATATGATCCACAATAAGCACATATTCCCTCTTTGTCGCTGCACGTCCAGAAACTCATTGAAGAGGTCGAGGGAATGTTGAACAACTTGCCCGGGGTGACGTCGGTCCACGGACGGTTTTACGATCTCTCCAGCAAATACTACCGCATCATCGGGAACCACGCCTCCTACTACAAGGACGCTCTGCGCTACCTCGGATGTGTGGAAATTAAAGACCTGCCAGGTGAGCACCATCAAACACCTAGACTTGTTTTAAGGCTGAAGGAGAACAGAAAGTATTTTGTGTGGCTGGCCGATCTAATGCTGCTGTTTGCTCCACAGAGACGGAGAAGCAGGAACGGGCGTTCACACTTGGGCTGGCTGGACTCTTAGGAGAAGGAGTTTACAACTTTGGAGAGCTTGTGGGTTTTAACACAGTATTCATCATGTTGTTTATTAGCGCTGTTGAGCTCTTGTTGACGATTGCTGTTGTGTTCTTGCAGCTGATGCATCCTGTACTGGAGACCCTGAGGAACACAGACAAACAGTGGCTCATCGATACACTGTACGCCTTCAATGGAGGAAATGTGGAGAAGTTCCAGAGCTTCAAGTCTGCCTGGGGCCAACAGGTGATTAACATTATTATAACAGCTCAACAGATTCATTTAGGATCATCAACTCAAATAGATGTCAATCTAGCATTTAAATAAGCCTCTGTTTGAGGGGTGCATGCAGTTTGAAGGTGCAGATGGGTGACTCTTAAAAGCAGAACTTCCCTAGTATGCAGCTTCAGTTATCTTTTACAAAGATTCTCAAAATCTCTAGAGGGATGTAATGCCAATCTTCCATAAAATGTTCCTGCTTCTTTTTTCTTCAAAAGTACAGTTGGGTGGACATCTGTTGACTGTCAAGCATTTTGTTTTGTATTCTTGATTGGTGAGATAAGCCTGTTTTAGCTCTGTTATAACTGTGTATGTAGCAGCTCGGATCAAAACCCCTTCAATAAGTAATTGAGCCAAGTTGGACACATGTCAACCTTCAAGATACCATCAGTATGAAGGCCGACTCGTAGCACAGGAATATGTTGAACCAGGTTAAAGAATTATACATGATCCATGGTACTGGGCAACTGTCTGATTTATTTTCTTGTCTTGTTCCCAGCCTGACCTTGCAGCACATGAGGCTAAACTGATGCAGAAGATCCAGCTGCTCTGCGTGATGGAGGTGAGACTGAAAACCAGTTAGACTTTATTTTAATGGATCAATGCATTCACTTGCAGACATGAATTAAACGCATGCAAAGGATTCATCTTGGAAATACAAATGTGTGCCATTGATCAATTACAAACCGTAGAATTTTAAAAACAGGAAGAACCCACATTTATAAACATATCCACATTAGACATGGATTGCAATGAGTCGGTGAGGGCAATTAACTGAAATTAACTGACTCGGCTAGGGATGCTCCGATCGGCCGATCCGATCGAGTGGGCGGGGCCTAAATGGAAGATTTAAACATCACTTTAAATCTTCTATTTAAAGTGATGTTTAAAACTCAGTTAATGGGGCTCATTCACTGGAGCTTCCACAAACAACAATCAACTTAATTATTACATTCAAATGATAGAATAGAATAGAATAGGGAGGGATGAAACCCTCTTTAATGGTCACACATGCAGAGCACACAGCACACACAGTGAAATTTGGCCTCTGCTTTTAACCCATCCTAGTACAAGGAGTCTAGTACTAGGAGCAGTGGGCAGCTATTGTACAGCGCCCGGGGAGCAATGAGAGTGGGGGGGAAGGGGGGTGTCCGGTGCCTTGCTCAAGGGCACCACGGCAGGGCAGGAGGTGAACTGGGACCTCTCCAAGTAGAAGTCCACACTCCATATTTAGGTCTGGTCGGGGACTTGAACCAGCGACCCTACGGCTCCCAGTCCAAGCCCCTACTGACTGAGCCACTGCCGGACTATGATGACTATGATGACTATGATGTACATTATTCAAGTTTACATTCACTTTGGATAATAACACGGGAGAAATGAGCGGAAGCGCTCTCTTTTCCTCTCTCTCTCCCCCCCTCTCTCTCTCCCCCCCTCTCTCTCTCCCCCTCTCTCCCTCTCCTGACAGCCTGTCAGTATCGTCTCATGCAGCTCACTGATCCAGTAATGAGTGACCCGACAGTGAAGAATAAATATATTTATAACTAGTTTAGCTTGTTCCAGAGGTAGATAAAATAGCTAAGTGTGTTAGGTCTAACTCTTGTGTGTCGCTCCGCTCACCGCTCCGTCACAGCGGGTGGAGCTGCAGGATTTCTGCTTCACACACGTTGCATACCGCTATTTTACTGTCTTTTTCGGACACCTTAAAATACTGCCAGACCGGTGAAGCCATTTTGGCGAGCTTGTTTTGCCGCGTACAGAGAAAAGTGTCATGTATTTTACGTCATGCGATCGGCTCTCGCGATCGGCATGTTTAGAGAGCACCGATCGGTAGAGAGTGAGTATCGGCAGATCTCGATCGGTGACCGATCGATCGGAGCATCCCTAGACTCGGCTAACTAGTCACACACACTACCCCAGACTCTGTCACCAAGATTTCAGTAATATTTTAAGTGACCCTTATTTGATTTTTGCTGCGCCTCTTCCTGGTCTGACTACGGAATAATCGCTCTCTTAGATAGTCTGATGGTCACACAAATAATATACACTGACTAACTGTAGTTTGTTCAAAGAGTCGTCATGTTTTCGTACCTGTCTCATGTGACAGAAGTGATGTCACAGTGAAGGTTGAAAAACAGGAATATTAAATCACTTCAAACGTGTCCTTTCTTTTCCAGATGACTTTCACTCGTCCTGCAAACCACAGACAGCTCACCTTCACCGAGATCTCTGAGAGTGCCATAATCCCCGTCAATGAGGTGAGTCGGATGACGAGTACATTTAATCAGCCCATCAATAGATGTCAATAAGGCCACGATCCAACTTAATACAGTTTGTCAATTTCACCTTGCTTTTCCAACCCCGGAGACCCAATAAGTTTTCACATTTGTTTTTATCGACATGAAAATGTATTTATTTGCGAGTATTGAAGTAAAGTGAACTGATGGAGCGTCTCCTGCAGGTGGAGCTGCTGGTGATGAAGGCTCTGTCTGTGGGCCTGATCAAAGGGAACATTGATGAGGTGGACCAGAAGGTGCAGATGACCTGGGTGCAGCCCCGGGTGCTGGACTTGCAGCAGGTTAGTCCTTCCCCTTTTATTTTATATTATATTATTATTATTATTATATAATATTTTGCACTAGATGTGCAATTTCAAAACAACGCTACACAGTCGAAATTCAGACTCTGCGCATGTGTTCACAGTGCAGGACATGGCAGTAAGGGAATTAATCCAAAATGGTGACACAGCAGCAGACAGTTTTTACCCTTGCAGCTGCAGGGAAATGATCAGAGAATTTAAAGCAGCTTTAAGACTTAATTTGTTCTAGTAAGGAGTGAGAGCGTTGCTGTGGCTCAGTAATGCCACCTAAAGCTGAGTGGGACAAAGTACAACTGTCAGAAATTGGAAATAATAAACTAAGGGGATTTGACATTAGGGGGTATCTGTATAAATAAGTACAATTGGATCAGAAGGGGAAGTTAAGACTGCCTGCTGTGTTTTGTTTTTAGGTCAAAGGAATGAAGGAGCGTCTGGACTTCTGGTGCGGAGACGTGAAGAACATGGCCATGCTAGTGGAGCAACAAGCCCACGACATCCTCACCTAGACCCCCTTCTCCCCGTCAGGCCAGGGAGGAAACCTCATCACAAGATTTCTGTTTTGTATTGTTTGTCTTTCTATCAGATGTTGATTCTTCACGCTTTATACCAACCTGTAAAAATACACTCTGGTATTTTACAAATAAACAACTGGTTGCATCATTATTATCCTCACCATATGGTCTTTAAAAACATTGTCTAAAATATGAATAAAAATGACCAGAAAAACTCACTTTTGTATTATTTATTTATGTGCGTCTTTGTAAGTCTTATGTGCATGCCGTATACATTTATATATACTTATGCATTAATGTACTTAAGTAAACTAAATGAACACTGTTGATTGACAATTTGAAGTATTTGTATATATTTTTTCTTCAACGTACATCTGTCTTAATGTAGTGGTCGATATTTCTTTAAAAGAAAAAATAACTGACGGCTATAGATCCAATTGTACGTTTATTAGTCATTACAGTTCACTTTCTTAATATAAATATTTATTTGTATTCTACATTGATCTTGTCTTTGAAGACCACTTGCCGATCAAGTCTGGGAACACTGGGACATTAGTCCAAGAAAACTAAATAATAGGATAAAGTTCTTTACATCAAGTGATTAGAGTTCCATACTTTCTTTGACACTTCACTTTAAGATTAGGGGTTAAATATTACCTAGGTACATAAACTCAAGTACTAGAATATGATTTTTTAAATAAACTCACCAACAGTTTGTAATGTTGGATCGACAAAACAGTCCTTGTGAAGTTGTCACTATGACGATGAGGCATTTCCCACAGTTTTTTCTTATCTATAATGAAAACATTAGTTAATCTACCTCACAAACAACACAATGCTTTTTTATTAACAAACTGGAAATGATTAGTATAACATCCTTTAAATATGGAGTTATAAAGCAAATAGTGCCCACAAATTAGAACAAGGGTGCAACTCACAATTATCTTTATTGATATACAGTGCCCTCCAGAATTATTGGCACCCCTTTAGAAAGATGAGCAAAACAAGATGCAAAAAATGTCTAAAATATTAACAAAAATCGAACCTTTAATTGAGGCAACATAATTGAAAGAAACGTTAAATTCTTATCATGAAACAAATATTCTTTTCAAAAATACAGTTATTGGTACCCCTTCATTTAATATTTGGTGCAGCCTCCTTTTGCCAGGATTACAGCTCTGAGTCTTCTCCTGTAATGCCTGATGAGGTGAACACATGGCACGGGATCTGAGACCATTCTTCCGTACAGAATCTCTCCAGATCCTTCAGATTCTGAGGTTGACGCTTGTGGACTCTCCTCTTCAGCTCATCCTGTCCGGTGCTGTTGTATTTGCTGTAAAGTGTTTTTACTGTAGGGTATGTTTATTATATGTACAGCACTTTGGCTCGACCAAAAATCGTTTAAAAATGTGCTATATAAATAAAACTTGATTTGATTTGATCCCACAAATGTTCTATGGGATTTAGGACCGGGGACTGTGATGGCCATGGCAAAACCTTTATTCTGTAGTCAGTAAACCATTTTTGTGTAGATTTTGAGGTGTGTTTCGGATCATTGTCCTGCTGGAAGGTCCAACCACGGCCCATTTTAAGCTTCCGGGCAGAGGCTGTTAGGTTTTCATTTAATATCTGCTGGTATTCATGATATCATGTATCCTAACAAGATGTCCAGGGCCTTTGGAAGAAAAACAGCCCCACAACATCAAAGATCCACCACCATACTTCACAGTGGGTATGAGGTGCTTTTCTGTATGGCTATCTTTCTGTCTACGCCAAACCCACCTTTGACGTTTGTTGCCAAAAAACTCTATTTTGGTCACATCTGACCATATAACCCTGTCCTGCAAACTGTAGGCGCTTTAGTATGTTTTTAATTGACAGCAATGGCTTTTTTCTGGCAACCCTCCCATACAACTTGTGGTGATACATGATGTATGTCTGATGGTCGGTTTGGAGACTTTCTGACCCCAAGACTCAACTAACCTCTGCAATTCTCCAGCTGTGATCCTTGGAGATTCTTTTGCCAGTCGAACCATCCTCCTCACTTTGTGTGGTGTGAATGTACACACACGTCCTCTTCCAGGCTGATTCTTCACATCTCCTGTTGCTTTAAGCGTCTTACTTATTGCCCTGATAGTGGAAATGGGCATTTTCAACAGTTTCAAGATTTTCTCATATCCATTTCCTAATTTGTGCAGCTCAACAACTTTTCGTCGCAGATCATCACTGTGTTCTCTGGTCTTTCCCATAGTGATGAATGACAAAGGGAATTTTGGCCTGTGTCACCTCCTTTTAATACCCCAGTGAAACAGGAAGTCATGGTTGACCAATTAAGAGTTCCTAATCAAACAGGTGAACCTACAAATGTAAGATATGACTGGAAATATACTTCAGTTAGATTTTAATCATAGGATTTTCTAGGGGTGCCAATAATTGTGGCACACATGTTTTGGAGAAAAATATTTATTTAACCCATAAGGACCCACCGTGACACGGGTGTCACATGAACTTTAAATGTTCTGGAAAGTTCCTTATACAGCTTGAGCCTTTATTTTATCTCATGAAGTCCCTAAGTGACACACACTGAACAGTCTGGTGGGTCATGGTCCAGGTCATGTGATTTTGTGTTCCCATAACAAGATGTCCAAGATGTCCATGTGCCAGACTAACACATGTGACAGAACGAGCTACATTTCAAAAGCTTTTTTGTTTGTTGCTAAAGGTCAAATTCAAGCCATTTAAGAATTAAAATGCTTACATAACATGTCCTTTATTACATTTAACCTGTTGTGGAAACATTTATTGATCAAATTGATATGAAACAAATTAGATAAACATTGCGGTGACACTGGTGTCACATCGGGACTTTAACCCTAAACTTTCACAGTAAACCCAAAGTGACATAATATGTACAATTAGAAATATTATTATGATCTGCTCAGTTAATTTAGCTGATTCAATTATATATTGAGTTAATATGTTCTTATTCTTCAATTCAAAGAATGTTCAAACTAATTTAAACCAAAAAATCATCCTCATTAATTAAGTTAAAAATAAGAGTTATTTTACCATTAAAGCCCAATGTGACATATATGTCACATTTCAGATATTTGACACTAGGGGGGTTTCTTGTCAGAAATGTGTTCTAGGTGGTCTATTTAGTCTAAATGATGTTCCCCTTAATTTTCCCAAAAGTAGAAATGGGTCCGGGTTCTTATGGGTTATTAATAATTTAACTTCAGTGAAAAGGTAAGATTGTTTGTGAATATTTTTGAGTGAAATATCATGAGGAAAAACAATAAATAAATGTTTTGCATCTTGTTTTGCTCATTTTTACTAAAGGGGTGCCAATAATTCTGGAGGGCACTGTATCTACTAATTACTCTCTTGACTTATCATTTATACATGTGCCAAAAAACATATTTGAAAATTGAAAAATGGCTACTAGGAGATGCCAGATCCAATGTTTTCATATAAAAAACGTTAATTAAGGAATCTGAGAACCAGCAGATATTCACATTTTAAAGCAGTAGATTCAGTAAGATAAATGTTCTGTTGCTCAACCAATCGTTTTATTGACGGACCGTTACAGCTTTAACTCTTATGTTTTTAGAGAGAGCATTTTAGGGCCATGAACAAGACATTGATATTTTGAAAATCAATATCACGACAGACGCTCTGGTCACCACCTCATCCTTAATGAGCTTCTGGGATGGATTTTCCCAGTATGTTTAATGATCACTGGTGCTGAATAATGGCTGTAGAAAGAAGCTCCCTTTGTTTCTGAGGATCTAACACCAAGGTATAATGAGATTGTTTTTTGTTTAGTGGCAGAATTTCAGAAATGCACAGGTGTTGAAATAAGTCCGCTTACTTTCAAACAGAGGTATAATGTTTTACAATTCTGCACTTTATACTGTTAGGATTTCTTAACTGAAAAGAGTCCAAGGAAGTTTATTTAAAAGTTTACAGCATTTATTTAAATACACAATACACCTATAAACTACTAGACCTATATTATATATTTCGTTGAGTTGTGTACTTGTTTTATCCTAAATGTTTTAAAACTATTTTCAAAACCAGAGAATTAATCAAGATAACGGTGCGTTTATTTTGGTCTCCCTTGAATGGTGTCGTCCCTCTTTGCACACGCCTCAGCATTGTGGTTGTCTGCCAGAAGCTGTCATAAATTGACCTGTATACAGTATTAAGCAACATTTTTAAACGTTTTATTTCCTGGTTGTTTTTAACTATATGTTTTTACAAAATAAAGGATTTTAGTCATCGTCCCCGGAACTTCAGTTATCCAAGAAACAGATGGAGCATTCGTTAGCCTGTAGCTCGTAGCTGCTCCATTGGTGTTCACCAAGGAAACACTGGTTTTGAAAGTGAAACTGCTGAGGAGGACACCTCTGTGGATAAATCGGCTCCTAAAAAAGAATATGCTGATAAATTAGGAATGAAGTAATCCTAATCAGAAAGGTTTACTGAAATGGCAAAAAATTCCAGGTGCCGCAATGCTTGGTTTCTCCCAATGTATCACAATAGGTGCTTGTGTGGCAGGAATGAGTTCCAAATGCCTGAAATTAGTTAGCATTTTAGCTGGTTCCCTTTTCTCAACGTCCACCATTTTTTGAGTGAGTTTTTGGTTCAAAACCTTAAATAAGATGTGTGGTTAAAACAAGCAATTGGATAATTTACTGGAAAGATCAGCCAGGGAGACTGGATGAAGTAGCAGACTCAAAACAGTATTTTGCTAAGTACAGTTACGGCCCGTCCACACAGCGGCTTTGGAAAAAGCTTGCCGGCGGGCGTGTCTGAAGCTCGACCAACAACCAATCACATGAATCTCCCGCCCCTGACACACAAGCAGCGGTTTGATTGGCTAGAGCTTGTACTGGCATATGATTTGATTGGCTGACGCTTCCACCGAAAGCTTCAGAAGCTTCAAAAGTTGAACATTGCTCAACTTTTGCAGCCTGAAACGCCAGGAAAGCTCCGCTCTGCTTCCCACAATGCAGTTCGGCGAAAAGTGACATCACCCCATTCAAAATGAATGGGCAGAAGCGTTGGAAGAAGCTTCCAAAGCCGCTGTGTGGACGGGCCGTTACAGCTAGCTACAGTTTGGCAGTGTCTGCAATCTAGCAAACATTAGCCAGCTAAAACCCAACCCCAAAATGTATTAATATAAAGTTATACAAAGTATTACTGCTACAGT